CGCGCGTGCACCGCGCTGCTGCAGCGCGGCGTGGAGGCCCGTCGGGGCCTCGCCGCCGCTGCTGCCGCCGACGTCGTCGGCGTCGAGGCAGATGAGCACGATGATGGCGAGTAGGTGGATAAGGAGCAGATGAGGAAACGGTACCCTTGCCTCGTTCTCGCCCTTTTGGGCCTCCTGGCAGGCCCTCGTCGCCGCCGCTGGATTTGCCTCGAAGTTACAGTCAGAACGCACCCCAGGAGAGGTCCTGGGAGTAGCGGTACTGTGGCATCCCCAGATGGTGACGAGGAGGTGGAGAAGGAGAGGAGGAGGTGAAGGCAGAATAAGGGGACAGGGGGAGGAGACTGCGGGGGAGGACGGCGACGCCGACGAGAAAAGTGGCGCACTGGGTGACGACGAGATGGTTACGAGGCCGAAGAGGAGGAGGAGGCGGAGGAGGAGGAGGAGGAGAAGAGGATCTCGGCAGGGCCTTCTTGTCAACGCTTCCAGAATCTGGATCTTCAGGACGAGCACGGTATGAAGCAGTTTGCCAACACAGAGAGCCAAAACTGCTCCAGGATTGAAGCCAGAGCCGGAAACGGAAACCACAACGGCGGCGGAGCCAGAAAGCAGACTGTGCCGGAAGCGGGGCCAGAAAGCGTGGCAGAACGAGAACAGAGAAGCACGCGCCAGCCGTTTCCTCCAAGAGCCACCACGTGCGCAGCCCCAAGCCCTCACAGCAGGGGCACCGTTCGGGGGAGAGTAGAGCTCAGGGTGGGACGCAGGGACCCCCCATCGCCCGTGACTCGACCGCCGACGGGGGCCCCGTGGCCCAACCCGCCCAGGACCTCTCGGACTTACCGTCGGGGGCCCCTCTCCGATCTATCGGCGACTTCTTGTCGATTCCAGGCCGATGTCCCCCCCACCCCCCCCCCGTGGGCCAGCTCGACGCTGCAACAGGAACCCCTGTGGGCACTGGACGACGGCTGACAGAAAAAAGAGTGTGGGGCTCTGGTTTTCGGGCTGCTCATCAGGTCTAAGGCTGAGGAAGCCACACGACGCCGAGGCTTGCCGCGGCCAGACCGGCCCCTGCGCTCCTCATTCGGCGCCCCTTCTGGCCGCACGATGGCTGCCTCGTGGACCCTCCTGACGGAGCCTCGCCAGCAGGGCGGCAGGGCAGCAGCAGCCTGCCGGCGCTGGCGGGCAGGGCCAGGGGGAGTGGGGGGGTAGGGCGGCAGGCTGGACGTGCGGGCGGCCCAGGCGTCCGGCGTTGTTCCTGATGCTGCCGTGGGGGGGCCGCCGGAGTTCCCGACGCCTGCAGCCGACGAAGAGAACATGGGCAGCAGCATCATTCTTCGGTGGTCCGCGCGGATCTCTCGGATCGGCGCTGAGGCCCCCCCACAGCGGCGCGAGGGCCCCGCGCGGAGCTCCGAAAGTGGATGTTCACGCAGGCCTGTTCACCACCCAGCAAGCCACCCCAACCCAACCCGAAGGCCCCAGTCTGCCCTCCACTCCTAGCAGGGGTGGGGGGCCTGGGGGAGCATGGAGAAGACAGATGTGGGACCCGCCTCCCACTGACCCGAAACTTGGGTCTTCGGGTGGGGTGGGGTCAGGAGGGGAAACAACACACAGACACAATTATTCCTCGACTCCCAGAAAATATGCGAGAATATGGGAAGTGGGGGGGGGGGGAAGACAGAAATTCAGAAAATATGGGAAAATATGGGGGATCTTTTTATTTGTGTGTATTTATTGGTGTGTCCCAGGGCCCCTTCGTTGGGGTGGTCTGGTAGGTAGCCTGATAGCCCTGGGTCACACACCACTCCTGGAAAAGCGCGGCAGCTCTTGCGCGCGGGCCGTCTCCCCGCGCCCCATCGGTTCTGAGGGCCGCGCGGGGCGCCGCGCGGTTCGATGTGTTTCCGCCGTGGATCGGAAGTGGTGGGGGGGGCAAGAGATTGAACAGAGCAGTCGCGTCATCTTTCCATGGCATCGCTCGGACGTGTGCATTTTTTTCTCGGCGAGAACCATCGAGGACCATCCTGGACCATCGAGCAACGAAAAACACGCACGAAACCGAACAATGCACGAAAATTGCACGTCCGAGCGACGGCAAGGGGGGGTGCAGGCCCCGACCACCGCCCTAGGAGGCTCAAGCCCTGCCCTGCAAGAGGGCATCGTCCCGCAGGACACGCCAGCAGAGGTCCTTAGCGTTAAGCCGGGCCTGTCCCTCTACAGGAGGAATATTTCAAAAAAAATAAAATAAAAAAACATATTCTGGGGACGATGTTGTTTATATATATATATATATGTATATATACAATGTTTGAGTATGTTCTGATATGTTGGACTATTCTTAATTTTTCGCCTAAAGTCCCCCTGTAGGGGGACGGGCCCGACCTAACCTTAGGGGGGGGAGCGGCGGCGGCGGCAGGCGGGCAGGCAGCTCGGGCGAGGCGCCGCGGGGTGGGGAGGCCGGCCTCACTGCGTACGACATCGGCACCCTGATGGTCCGGCAGGACACGCCGTGGCCGGCCCGGGGGGCGGCGGGCGGGTGCGGGGCGGGAGCGGATGGGAGAGGAGGAGGAGGCCGCCCCCCACCTCTGAGGGGCAGGAGGGGGGGAGAGAGAGAGAGAGAGAGAGAGAGAGAAAGAGAGAGAGAGAGAGAGAATGAGAGAGAGAGGGGGAGAGAATGAGAGAGAGAGGAGAGAGAAAGAGAGAGAGAAGACAGAAAACAAAATGGCCAGGCCAGAGAGAGAGAGAGAAGAGAGAGAGAGTGAGGAGAGAGAGACAGAGAGAAAGAGTGTGAGGTAGAGAGAGAGAGAGAGAGAGAGAGAGAGTTCCACCCACCCGGATTTTTACGACAAACTGGCAGGCGCATTTGAGAGCACCGCCGAGGTTTCGGCTTTGGGAAAGAGGGGAGCAGATCGCAGCGGCGTTCATCGATACGTATGGCTGGGGCCGGGTTGCAAGCAAGATCGAACATTCAATATGGCACCATGACACTACGGTGTGCGATGCTATCACGCCGATACACCACACACGTATTCGTATAATAACATGCGCGCATGTGAGCAGCCTCTGGACTGATTGGGAGCGCGTTAAGCCAGCTGGGTTCGAAGCGTCAGTATGTTTTGAGAGGCCGCAAGGAGACAAGGGCGGGTCGGACGAGGCGAGCTGACATGGAGGGATGAAGAGAGAGAGAGAGAGATAGAAAGATGCAGGGAAAAGAGGGTGAGCGAGAAACCAAAATTAAAAGGGAGAGAGATAGAGGGAGCGATACAGAGAGAGAGAGAGAGACTGTCAAAGTGACAGAGGGGGAGAGAGAGAGAGGGAGACAGAGAGAGAGGGGTGGATAAAGAGAGAGAGAGAGAGAGAGACAGGGGAGGAGGCAGAGAGAGAGAGAGAGACATCCCCAGGACGACAGTTTTTTCCTGTTGGGCCCGGAACGACGGTGTGAAGTCTTGAGCAGACCCGTATGAGATAACCGCCGTCGGATCCCATGAAGTTCGCGCGGATCCAAATGTGGCTTTGGTGTTTATTTCGGTAGATCCGATTGCCGTCCGTACGGATCCGGTTTCGGATTAGCTGGATCCGTGTCTGGTCTTATTTTTTTTCGGCGGATCCGATTTCTACCCTGTCTTAAATTTGTATGACCAGGGGAACAGAAGGAATCGGATCCGCGGACCCCGCAAACCGCCCGTGTTAAGATTCTGTGGGGGAGGGATTTTCGGTAATCAATTTTCCACGACGGGCCCTGCGTCGTCTCGCGCACTCCCATCAACTCCCGCGCGAAAGGGCCCCATTCAACATGAAAACATACATCCCTCACCCCCGGTTGCTGCAAACAGCTCGTCCGGTCGCCGTCCGTTCGGCCATTTTCACCTCAAGAGGAAAATCTTCGTCCTGCGTAAGTGCGTTTCGGGCCTGCGTCTCCTCACCCAACGGAGTGCCTGTGAGATGTGGTGTCGGCTGTGTGGTAACCAGCAACGGACTGCCTGTGAGATGTGGTGTGTCGGCTATGTGGTAACCCAGAAGTCCGAAGGCCAAAACGCCCAGTGCGTTTCGGCCCTGCGTCTCCTCACCCAGTGGAGTGCCTGTGAGATGTGGTGTGTCGGCTATGCTGTTTCCAACAACGGGCTGCCTGTGAGATGTGGTGTGTTGGCTATATGGTAACCGACGAGCCCGAAGGCCAAGACGCCCAGTGCCCAGTGCGTTTCGGCCCTGCGCCTCCTTACCCAACGGAGTGCCTGTGAGATGTGGTGTCGGCTGTGTGGTAACCAACAACGGACTGCCTGTGATATGTGGTGTGTCGGCTATGTGGTAACCAACGAGTCCGAGGGCCAAAACGCCCAGTGTGTTTCGGCCTTGCGTCTCCTCGCCCAACGGAGTGCCTGTGAGATGTGTTGTCGGCGATGTTGTTACCAACAACGGACTGCCTGTGAGATGCGGCGCGTTGGCTATATGGTAACCAACGAATCCGAAGGACAAAACGCCCATCCCCAGGACGAAAGTTCGTTGCTCTTTATATGGTGTGTCGGCTATGTTGTTACCAACAACGGATTGCCTGTAAGATGTGGCGTATCGGCTTGTAACCAACGAGTCCGAAGGCCAAAACGCCCATGCGTTTCGGCCCTGCGTTTCCTCACCCAACGGAGTGCCCGTGAGATGTGGTGTGTCAGTTACATGGTAACCGACGAGTCCGAAAGTCCAAAACGCCCATCCCCAGGACGAAAGTTTTTCCTCTTGGGCCGGGAACGACGGTGTGAAGTCTTGAGCAGACCCGTGTGAGATAACCGCCGTCGGATCCCATGAAGTTCGCGCGGATCCAAATGTGGCTTTGGTGTTTGCCTCGGTGGATCTGATTTTCTCGTCCGTCCGTACGGATCCGGTTTCGGATTAGCTGGATCCGTGCCGGGTCTTATTTTTTTACGGCGGATCCGATTTCGACCCTGTTTTAAATTTGTATTATTATACAACCAGGGGACCGTAAGACATCGGATCCGCGGACCCCGCAAACCGCCCGTGTTAAGATTCTGTGGGGGAGGGGGGTTCGGTAATCAATTCTCCACGATGGGCTCTGCCTCGTCTCGAGCACTCCCATCAACTCCCCGCGCGAACGGGCCCCACTCGACATGAATACATACATCCCTCCCCCCCTGGTTGCTGCAAACAGCTCGTCCGGTCGCCGTCCGTTCGGCGGCCCCGACGTTGTTTCGCGTAAGTGCGTTTCGGGCCTGCGTCTCCTCACCCAACGGAGTGCCTGTGACATGTGGTGTCGGCTGTGTGGTAACCAACAACGGACTGTCTGTGAAATGTGGTGTGTCGGCTACGTGGTAACCAAAAAGTCTGAAGGCCAAAACTCCCAGTGAGTTTCGGCCCTGTGTCTCCTCACCCAACGGAGTGCCTGTGAGATGTGGTGTCGGCTGTGTGGTAACCAACAACGGACTGTCTGTGAGATGTGGTGTGTCGGCTGTGTGGTAACCAAGAAGTCCGAAGGCCAAAACACCTAGTGCGTTTCGGCCCTGCGTCCCATCAGCCAACGGAGTGCCTGTGAGATGTGTTGTCGGCGATGTTGTTACCAACAACGGACTGCCTGTGAGATGTGGTGTGTTGGCTATATGGTAACCGACGAGTCCGAAGGACAAAACGCCCATCCCCAGGACGAAAGTTTGTTGCTCTTGATATGGTGTGTCGGCTATGTTACTACCAACAACGGGTTGCCTGTGAGATGTGGTGTGTCGGCTAGATGGTAGCCAACGAGTCCGAAGGCCAAAACGCCCATGCATTTTGGCCCTGCGTCTCCTCACCCAACGGAGTGCCTGTGAGATGTGGTGTGTCAGCTAGATGGTAACCAACGAATCTGGAGGCCAAAACGCCCATGCGTTTCGGCCCTGCGTTTCCTCACCCAACAGAGTGCCTGTGAGATGTGGTGTCGGCTGTGTGGTAGCCAACAATGGAGTGCCTGTGAGGTGTGGTGTGTTGGCTATGTTTTAGCCCAAAAGTCTGAAGGCCAAAACGCCCAGTGCGTTTCGGCCCTGCGTTTCCTCACCCAACGGAGTGCCTGTGAGATGTAGTGCCCTCTATGTTGTTACCATCAACGGGTTGCCTGTGAGATGTGGTGTGTCCGCTATATGGTAACCAACGAGTCCGAACGCCAATACGCCCATTCCCAGGACGAAATTCATGTACTCTTGATGTGGTGTGTCGGCCACGTTGTTACCAACAACGGGTTGCCTGTGAGATGTGGTGCGTCGGCTAGATTTCAACCAACGAGTCCGAAGGCCAAAACGCCTATGCGTTTCGGCTTTGCGTCTCCTCACCCAACGGACTGCGTGTGAGATTTGGTGTGTCAGTTAGATGGTAACCAACGAGCCCGAAGGCCAAAACGTCCAGTGCGTTTCGGCCCTTCCTTTCCTCACCCAAGGGGGGGCCTGTGAGATGTGGTGTCGGTTGTGTGGTAACCAACAACGGATTGCCTGTGATATGTGGTGTGTCGGCTATGTGGTGACCCAGAGGTCCGAAGGCCAAAACGCCCAGTGCGTTTCGGTCCTGCGTCTCCTCACCCAACGGAGTGCCTGTGAGATGTGGTGTCGGTTGTGTGGTAATCATTAACGGACTGCCTGTGAGATGTGGTGTGTCGTGTATATGGTAACCAACGGTTCCGAAAGCCAAAACGCTCATCCCCAGGACGAAAAGGTTTTCCTCTTGATGTGGTGTGTCGGCTATGTTGTTACCAGCGACGGATTGCCTATGAGATGTGGTGTGTCGGGTATATGGAAACCAACGAGTCCGAAGGCCAACACGCCCGTCCCCAGGACGAAAGTTTTTTCCTCTTGGGTCCGGAACGACGGTGTGAAGTTTTGAGCAAACCCGTATGAGATAACCGCCTTCGGATCCCATGAAGTTCGCGCGGATCCAAATGTGGCTTTGGTGTTTGTTTCTGTAGATCCGATTGCCGTCCGTACGGATCCGGTTTCGGATTAGCTGGATCCGCGTCTGGTCATATATTTTTCCCACATCCAAAGTGGGGTTCTTGTTTTCTCTGCACACCCCGCGCAGGATCACTCACCCCACCCCCTCTCCTTTTCTGCCTTCGCACACTCACTCACTCACTCATCATCATCACCACTCACTCACACTCACACTCACTCACACTCTCTCATCATGAACATCAGCATCATCACTCGCGCTCTCTCACACGCTCAGTCACTCACATACTCATCATCATCATCTTCATCATCATCATCATCATCATCATCATCATCATCGTCACTCGCACTGTGTCACACGCTCACTCATTCACATACTCACCTGGAGGAAGTCTCAGGCGGGAGCCTCGTCTGTGAGTGAATTGTGAGGAAGTCTCAGGCGGGAGCCCCCTCCCTATGGGGCCCGCAGATCATGTTGGTAATCCGAGCGGGTCATCCAAACCCTGTTACTGTCGTCACTTTTGGGCTCCTCGAGCTTGAGTGCGGAGGAAGTCTCAGGCGGGAGCCTCGTCTGTGAGTGAATTGCGAGGAAGTC